CCTAAATGCACTGAGTTGCCGCCATGTGATTGGCTGATTAGAAATTAAGTGTTAACGAGCAGTTGGACAGGTGTACCTAATAAAGTGGCCGGTGAGTGTAGTTGTAGTAGGATTACAAATTAACAGAATAATAGCATTATATCAGTCATAATAATGATGCAAGATAATAGCAGAGGACTTTTTTGCTTAAATACATTCGGATTATCTTGAGAGGAACGTTTGTAAATTGGTTGAAAATCCAGCTATATTGTTAGAAAAGTATGAAATTATCATTTTCACAGAATACATTAAAATTTGATTTTCTAGTACAGGGGTTCCCAAACGTTTCCATGCCAAGGCCCCCTAAACAACTTCAGCTTCTGGCCAGGGARCCCCTTGCAAGTTGACAATAAAATACATCAATATATGTAAAGAAATATCAACTTTTTAGAATGTTTTTTTCTCGCTTTCATTCACTATTGAACAGCTGTAAAGCCATATGCTGCCTCAAAGTTCCTGATTTTACTTGGCCAGGAGTTTTTAACTCAGTGTCCTCCATAGGCTGCTGGTTGGTTCATTTGGTCCTTTTTTGTCACAAACTTGTCCATTGCTATGTTAGCTTCAGACTGAACAAACTCTGTCACTATTAACGTCAGGAGAACTGCCACCCTGTAGTTTCCTGGGTGGTTCTTGCAAGTTGTGTAAGTACTAAAACAGCTGCTGTGGTTTAAAAGATATTAAAGATGGAACATAATTTATTTTATTTTTTACTCTCACCTGAATATGTTTTTCATTAGACAGTATATAACATATTCAAAATCATAATGATTCCGGCTAAAAACCCATGGAAACCATGAATCCACTTGTGGACTTGACCTGTGCAAAGATTCATGCTGCTAAAATGAACTGGAGCGAAGTTACAGAGGTTTTAGTAAAGAAATCATTTCTGCACTGGACTGACCATGATGGTACCATTAATAAATGCTAAGAAATCTGAAGGTTTTAATTGCAAAAGTAATTTTTTTACCTGCCTGAAAAGATTTGAATGTTTGTTCTTTTGAAAAATAATCCAAACATTTATTTGTCACCATATATATTATTTAAAATATTGAGAAATTATATTTGACTTCAGTTGGATCACATTCACTCAAAACCAAGTAAAAAGAAAAAACTTTCAACACACTTTATAACTTATTTTGGTATTCAGCTACTCTGAACAGAAAACATTGTAATCATATTCAAAGATTTACCTGATATTTGCTCAAATGAACAACTTTAAAGTTAAAACTGAACAGTAGAATTTTATAATGTAATGTGTGAATTCATTCATGTTACTCTTTTTTTGTTCCAAATCTTATCAATATAACTACAGAATGAACATATCTGGACCAAAGAGGACTTGGCAACAGGTCAAGATTAAATTTAAAAACATTTTGCAGACTGGAATCTGGAAAAAATGTTGACTACAATGTACAAAAGTCTTGTACTAATTACTTAGAAGGTGCTGCTCACAAATTCCATCCCTGTATTTATGTATTTATTTAAGCATTAAAAAAAGGACTTGCCAGGAGGGTCCATGGCTGTGCTGATTCCTGGTGACAAAGACTGGCTCTAGGGACATGGAACATAACCTCACTCGCGGGTAAGGAGCTGGAGCTTGTGGGTGAGGTCGAGCGTTACCAGCTAAATATGGTTGGACTCACCTCAACTCACAGCTTGGGCTCTGGAATCCAACTCCTGGAGAAGGACTGGACTCTCTCCTACTCTGGAGTTGCCCAGTGAGAGAGGCAACAGGCGGGCGTGGGGATACTCACAAGCCTCCAGCTGTGTACCTCGGTGTTGGAGTTCACTCCGGTGGACGAGAYGGTTGCCTCCATGAAGCTTCATGCTGCAGGAAGGAAGGTTCTGACTGTTGTTTGTGCTTATGCACCAAACATCAGCTCAGATTACCCAGTCTTCTTGGAGTCCTTGGATGGGTCCTGGAAGGGGTGCCATCTGGTGACTCCCTCGTTCTGCTGGGTGACTTCAATGCCCATGTGGCCAATGATGGAGTAACCTGGAAGGGGGTGAGTGGGAGGAACGGCCTCCCCAGTCTGAACCTGAATGGTGTTCTTTTATTGGACTTCTTTGGCAAGCACGGATTGTCCATAATGAACACCATGTTTGAGCATTGGGTGGTCCACAAGTGAACTTGGTACCAAGACGACTTAGGCCAAAGGTCAATGATCGATTTTGTAATCGTGTCATCTGACCTGCGGCCCTATGTCTTGGACACMCGGGTGAAGAGAGGGGCAGAGCTGTCAACTGATCACCACCTGGTGGTGAGTTGGATCCAGTGGCGGGGGAGGTTGCCAGACAGACCTGGTAAACCCAAACGTATAGTGAGGGTGAACTGGGAACTTTTGGCGAAGCCCCCTGTCCATGCGATCTTCAACTCACACCTCCGGGAGAGTTTTTCACATGTCCTAGGGCAGGTCGGGGACATGGAATCTGAATGGGCTATATTCAGGGCCTCCATTGCAAATGCAGCTTCCAGGAGCTGGGGCCTGAAGGTCATCGGAGCCTGTCACGGTGACAACCAAAGGACCTGCTGGTGGACACCAGCAGTGATGGAGGCCGTCAGGCCTACTGGACTTGGCTTTCCCGGAGGACTCCTGAAGCATCTGACAGGTAGCAATCATTGGCCTTGAGGAGGTTCTGGCCAAAAGGAAAGTGTTCCCTGTCCCACGATGTACTTGGCTTGGGAAGGGAACTGCTGACCAGGACTGAGGATATCGTTGGGCGGTGGAAGGAACACTTTGAGGATCTCCTGAATCTACCCTTCATGTCCACCTTTGAAGAGGCAGAGTCTGAAGACTCGGGGGAAGATGAGTCCATTACCATGGAAGAGGTCACTGAGGTAGTCAAAAAGCTCCTTGGTGGCAGGGCGCCAGGGATGGATGAGATTCCCCCTGAGATGCTGAAGGCTCTGCATGTTGTGGGGTTGTCATAGTTGCCACGTCTCTTCAACATCAAATGGAGGTCTGGGACAACTCCTGTTGAGTGGCAGAGGGGGGTGGTGGTTCCCATTTTTAAAAAAGGGGGACTAGAGAGTGTGCTCTAACTATCGTGGAATCACACTTCTCACCCTCCCCAAGAAAGTTTA